AATATTGTCTGTTCAGCTTTTCTATAAACGCCTTGTTCGCTGCGAAAAATCGAGTAAAACTATTGTAATACTGTAGAGGAGATATATGATCACAAATCGTTTCAGCCTTCAGTTAATCTCGTTAAGCTCTACGTCGAATAACAAGATGACATCATATATCACAAAACAGCTAGAATAGTTCCCTCTATAAACCTAATGTGTCGTAGTTTGGGTTATGCACTTCAAACAGTTCAGACTTTCGCTACTATATTCAAGGAAAAAGCAGAACTAAGTAGAGTAACGAGAGATAAGGAACGTTTGTCACATAGGTCCATCCGAGTTTCTAAAACTCTTGGTAAATCAAAGTTCTTGTTGCATGAGTCAGACATAACTTGAAATGATCACACTTATTGAAGTGATAGAGTTAGAATCTTTCGCTTTATGATGGAGTATGAAGTTAAATTAGGATTGTTGCTAATTATTCTCGAGTAAAAATTTACAGATAATCAACGGTCAGTCTGTCAAGAAGCCTTCACAAAGTTATTATGTGTTTTGAACATGACTTAAGATCATTGATACTAGCGAAGAAGATGATAACGAAATTGCCTATGTATCGTACTTTTGCTTAAGATTAGTAGCGATTTCTTGTTGAAAATAGTATTTCACATTGAAGCAATTAAAATGCCAATTTTGATATTAAACTATGTGGACAAGGAACAATAGCATGCATGTATATTTTCTACTTTAGGGCTCCTGTTGTCATAAATGATGCAAAAAATAGTACTCAAGTGTCTCCATTCATGTGTAATATTTGCTACGAATATGAAACCATCATCAACACCAACATCAGAACATCATTAATTAATAAGCCAGGCAAGTATGGTTGATAATTTTCTGATTTGTTCGCCATTAGATCTTTGGTAGTGTTCTTGCCTTAATAAAATATAAAAAACTTTAACGTCAATATGATATACTATGAAAAGCATTGGTGATCATAATTCTGGTACCTATACTTGATGTAAAGTGCAATGTTATGACTAGTGCCAGCTATGCCAGATTACAACACATATTTTAAAGACTTGCTTTATTCTATTATGGCGTCGTCCTTCATTCAAATATTGAGAGCATAATTTTAAGAGTTTGCCCATTAAAGGGCTAACAGAAGAAGAACCGATATAAACCATTACAGACTATAAAGTTGATGGTATGAGTGAACTCATGACAGTGAGAATACGAAAGAAAGATAACAGTATTCGACATGTAAAAACGAGTCCTAGAACATGGGATAGGGCGAAACGCAATTTCACCGGCCACTGATCTCTGATCTGAAATCGCCTCGTTTTTCTTCTCAGATATCTCGTCGATATTCAGCTAAATTCTTCGTCTCTACTATTGTTTGCTTCTATTATCTTTATATGAAGAGGTCTTCAATAATCAAAATGATTTCTGTCAAAAGGCTCCTTCATAAATAATGTCAAACATAGTCGAATTATTGCCACAGAATTTCTCACGATTGCATTGACCATCTGAAACTCGATGAAGCTGACATGCTTTGTTGGGTTTCTTATGATGATTATTTCTGTACTGGAGAAGTGGGACCTTTATCAAAAATTGATAAAAAAGTTGACGAACTACCAAGGAGACTTCTTTAAGTTTTCAATCAGTAGTTTTAATTTTTGTATAAACTAGCGGTTTTAGAGTTTCATACATAGCTGAATAGTGTAAGTCTTCTACGATTTCTTGTAAGGACTCAATACATTTTCTCCAAAAGAACTTATCATTCGAAGGCGTTGCTAGAAGCTGCACTTGCCAAGTTTTTTTACTACTCTAGTATAGGTTTATAGCATGGAGATTATTCCTAACACACATCGGTAAATATTTACGGTACTTACCGATCGTTGCATATCTATCTGACTGAGTATGAGCGTGCGTGTCGATATTTTCGGCAAGATTGAAAAACGCAGAAATGAAAAAAAAATAAAGGGAAAAGTATCGAAAAGAACAACATCCAATGTAAAAATATAAAATTAGTAACGAAAGGTCGTCAGCATAGAATGGTTTGAAGCAGTCATGTTTATAATATGCATGCGTGTAGTACCTTGATGGTGTGAGCTCTACAAGAAGACTGTTGTCGTTATCCTTCAATGTAAATCCTGATTTCCACATTCACACTAGCCGAGAATGCATTTATAAAATTGTGATTCCATTCAATCTCTCTTTTTTCGCGATTTTTCTTGATGAGATTTTTCATTTCTGCGGCTTTCTATCAATTACTGATCTCTTCGCCCAATGGCAGCCCGAAGAAGTAAAGTTTGAGCGAGGAAGAGCATTTGATGTCTTGATTTTTGCAACCGCAGAATGTCTTTCTTGTTTTAGTTTTGTCAGAAAAAAGGAAAACAATTTGCACACTTGGGAAGCCATTAGCTCCCTGACGCACTTCGTTTGGATTAACACTGCTCAAACTGATACTCACACCCTTTAATCATTAGTAGACTCAGCTTAAATCATGCTTTTTTTTAGTTTTTTTCATTAAATTTCGTTCAAATGGATTTTATCGTTTTTACCTTGAATAGAGACAAATCCTTCGTCCATGAAGACTTCTGCATCATTAAAACTAATAAACTTCTCATCCACAGAATCAATTATTCGATGTAGCCACAACGAGAAAAAACCTATCACTTGGCTCTTCGGGCTTCTACAATCCCTGAAGAATACAAATTCAATTGTGCGGCTCTGTATCATATTTAGTATCACGGCCATTTTGTTGATTCTCATTTTCGGTTCGTTGATGAGTGTGCTATCCGGACACATCAACAAAACAACAACATCAATACCTTCTTTGGCCGTTTCTTCATCCAGAGAAGAAAGTAGGATAAGAACCTTAAGTNTATATAATTAGTTTTATTTTCTTTTGACGTCCCACCTTGAATTGCTTGTTAACTAAAAATAAAAATAACATTAGCAATACCATATTCAAGATCAAAATAAAGTTTTGATGGTTTTACATGAACTAAATTATTAAAGTTCTTTTCATAAATGGAAATATCTTGATTGTTTTATTTCTATCCAAATATTCATTCAAACTATTGAACTTTTTGTTATCATTCAATCCAAGATGGGACGTCAAAAGAAAATAAAACCAATTATATATTAAAATTAAAAACCAAATAAAAAGTTTAATCGAAATTGAAACGAAAATGAAATCAATTATTAGAATTATGATATAAAGATTATGAAAAAAAACACAAAATATAAACCATGGACAATAATACTGACCAAAGCCAATATCAAAATAAATATATTAAATTTTAAAAATTAAAAATTGATATATAAAAATTAAATAATGGACATCATAATATAAAATAGGGAGTTTGTTTAAAAATGGTAGTAAAGATAGTTCAGAATTGATGGCAATAACAAGCGATAGAAAGTAAAGAACTTTTAATTAAAAAGAAAATTAAATCAATAATTTAATCAAATATATGAGCTTGTATTAAATTGAACTGTTTGGGTGTGGGCATGAGTATGGGGTGTGGGTGTGGATGTGGGTGTAAATGTGAATTCTTTCTCGTAACTACCCACACCCCATACTCATGCCCACACCTTCTCAATAGCAGGAACAATTTCATCATTCAGTGTTTCAAAATAAATCTCGGCAGTAACGGTGTCATGAAAGAAGAATGGTCTGATAATATCGTCACACCAAATACTAGCCCATACAGTAACACCTGGAGCATTTATCTCTTGACTGATCACTGTTTGAGGATTTTCTGTAGCATAATAAACGCAATTATGCCGATTAACATGCCCATTCAATTTGAAGGTGCATTCGTCAGTGCAAAAAATTCGGTAAAGTAATGAAGGGCCGTCATCGATCAAGTTTGGAAAAATTTCGACAAATTCACAAGGTCTCTCGGAATCACCTTCATTCAACGCATGAAGGAGCTGAGGTCGATATGGTTTCGATCCTAGCTCTTTCATCATTCGTTGGAGACTGGTTCTTGACAGATTTAACTACAAAGCAGCTCTTCTCCATGATTTAGTAGGATTTTATTGAAAAGCAGCACGAACACATTCTTTGTTCTCATCAGTAGAAACAGATCTAGGCCGTCGAAATCTGATTGCATCTTGGACACTTGCGGTTACATCAAATTTTCGTACAAGGTTCAAAATGTGCTTTCGTGACGGAGGAGTTCGGTCATAACGATATTGAAACTGACGAGCAACTTCGGCTACATTTTCGTGTATGACATACCATTTGACAATTTCAATTCTTTCCGACGATGACACGTGAAAATCTCCACTCATAATTAAAAAAGAGTATGAAATAATACCCAGTTACAACTGTACAAAAACAAATAGTATAGAAAACAGAAAAAAATGCATCAGTCGACGAAAGAGATAAGCACTTGTATCATTGTCTGATAGATGGTACCATTAGCAGATGCATGAGTATCATCGGACGAAACATAACAGTATACATTACAGCAGCAAAACTTATAACTGTCAAGTATGTTCCTAGTTTCAAAGATTCATCCTATATACGTCCGCACTGGAACAGATTACGATATCCAGATATTATTTATATGCTGAATTTTTAGCTTATGATATCTAGTATATATGCCATTAATATCAGGCATGAACAATGAAAAACAAGGAAAAAATGAAAAAAAATACTTCGTTACCTGACTTATGGGCCACTCGGTACACTCATACCCATATCCACGCCCACAGCCCACCCATCCACACTCACACCCGCATCCACACACCCACACGCACACGCACAAGCACACCCACATCCTTCTGCTCTCCCAAGTGAATCGACATCGAAATATTAGGAAATGGATTCTAGTTTTTTATTTTTTCACATTTGCGAAATTCTCGCCAATATCTTTCTGCCATGCACTAAGAAAATTTTCTTTCATTTCCTTTTCAATTCCAAAAGCAGCTTCAGCTCCATCTGGATCTCGTGGCAACCACTCAGTTCCATCTTTTACTGGGTTTAAACGGAACACACGGATTTACAATGGACTTGCTCGAGGTACATAACAGCGACATTTGTTCGTGTAGCCAAAATCTACAAGGTTCGCCCAATCGAATCTCAAACTAGAATTAACTATCACTTCATTCGGAAATTGCCCACAGGCCCGCAGATTTTCACGTGCATTTTTTCTCATTAAGACGTCAACAGTAGCCAACCAAGGCTCGAGAAATTTCGGATCACGTGCTCGAAGAATTGAACGACGAATTGTGTTGGCAATTTGTGACAAACGTAATGGATCATTAAAGTCAGCAGATGGAATCATAAATATAGTATTCGAAACGACTCCAGCTGGAGCAATCATGTCAGAGACACCGCGAAAGTTGACATATGTGTTTACGCGTAGAATGCGACGGTGGTCACCATTAAGATAGCAGTGAGTGTTCAGCGTAAGACAAATGTAGGCAGTAAGTGAGTCTTGAATAGTTACATCGTTTCCACCGGCTAACTCACGCAGTCTGGCTAGTTGTTCGCCTGAGAAGCTCAAGTTAAGTTGCTCGTACATATCTTACCAACCACTATTAAGTTTATACCTTTCTTCTGATGGTCCAGCATGAGTCAGATACTTCAACATAGGCAAAAAAGATAAATCCGCTTCATCTTCTCGCCATAGACGTCGTTCGAATACAGGAAGTGGTTCGAGTGGTTCCAAATTTTGGTAAAAACGTGACACGGTATTTAAAAACTTTGCAGAGACTGCACCGTCTCCCAACACATGTGCCCAACTAACTCCTAAAATCCATTCGCCACTCCTTTCAAGACGAGTTAGTTTTAAACGAAGGAGAGGCTCCTCTTGAGAACCATAAATTAGTTTCCGAGTTGGCACTTCGTCAATAAATGGTGGAAGTGGATCTTTATGCTGGTCTGAAATAATATTCAAGTGGGTGGGCCAAGCAGCTAGCTCAGTATTTTCAGCACAAGTGACTGGGATTGGATTGTCGGACATTTCGATCAAGTAACGATCACCTTCAAGCAAAAGGAAATGACCGGCAACGAGGGGCCATAATGAAAGAGCACGACTCAGTGCATACTTGAATTGATCAATATTGAACTCAGATGGATAGACGAATACTCGGTTGGTAGATAATCCGAGCCACAAATCAATTCCAGCAAGCTCGATGCGACGATTATTACCCATTGGTGGTGATGGAGAAACGAGCCAAATCGTCATATTTCGATCTGTTATTATACAAATATCATTATGATGAGATCGAGCTTGTAAACAACAAATACAAGACTTGAAATTAGATTAGTGTAAAGTGCAGTAGTTACACTATCTATTATCCATATAAAAAAAATTAGACAAGTAATCAGATTGAAATCGATTATAATCATACACCTTTAATCGGGTTTAATCTAATTATTCGCATATTTTTTTACATGGATACGTGGGCTGAATTCTCAGATTCAATAGTTTTCCGAAAATGCAATCGTTCCTGTGACGCAAGAAGTGTTTACAATACAAAAATGTTTGTGTCACTGCCTTGAAAGCAGAAAGTAACTAATGAGATCAAAGGAAGAACATCTATACTAAGATAAAAGTTACTGAATTCATGATTGAATTTCACACTCATAAGCGGCGAAAGGTTTTCAGCTCAGGGTTATCTCAATATTTCTTCTAAGATCATCACCAGCAGGCCAAAAACAGAGACCGAATAATTTTGTGTAGTATACTACTCAAAGCAAACATGGTCAATATTTTTGTATTTTGTACTGGCATTTTATTATGTATAACAAGTAACGCGACGCAAACGTCGCTATCTCTCTACTGAAAGGAACTATGCCATCATGCATCCTCTGTTTGAATAAAGAGCTAGCGACCAGAGATCACAGACTCGTCACGTATCCTTGCGTCGTAAAGAGGCGAGGCAGGATTATATGCCCCGTGACGAGTGTAAATTGATTCTGAGACTTGCTGAGTCAATATGTCTACTTAAAATGTAATTGTTAGTGACTAAATGACAGGTCATTAATGTTATCTCCTGATTTTATTGTTCATTTCTTAAAAAATTTCTATTGGCGACGAAGTTATAACTAATCACAACAATAAATGAGTGTGAATATTTACGCAAACATAATTATCTATTTGATCTGTCGAACAATCTGATTTAGGTCCCAAACAGCGTAACTCAATTCAAAATGAATTAAGAAAAATCATTGATGTTACCATGTAACGACATCGTTAACATTGGTTAATTGACTTCAAATTAAGTCAGCTGGTTTGAAGCCTTGCACAATAACAATTGTCAATTTAACTAATGTGACCTCTGTGGTGTCAGCTAATAGAAATTTTTACAATAAAAATTTTAATCTAGATACGTATCATTGCTCGGCAAACTGTTACTCTTCTGATAAAGACATTATTGATGTGACAGAAGAAACTTATTCAGATTCTCGCAATGCTGATCATAAATTATCAGATATTTCTCCAATGTTCTGTAGAAGGATTTATAATTTATTTATATCTAAAGATGGAAATTTAACGATAGTCGAAAAGAGGAAGAAATATACGATTAGTTGTCAATCTCTGTTGGCCCTTCCAGCTGTTACTGATAACTAAGATGTTGCGGTGAGAAAATTAAATAATCTTGTCTCACATAAACATCGCTATGCAACATATTCTTAAAATAATAATAGCACCTTACAAATAAACAAGTACAATTATGGATGTTCACCAATAAGATCTTTAAAACACTGTTACAATGTCCTAATCACCTTTAAGACAAGAATGTTTTCTTTTATCTGTAACAGTCCAGAATCGATTAAAATAAGTGAAGCAAAAAGTAACAAAACAGAAAATCTTCTTAAAATACGGTCGTCTATAGATATCAGACCATATTCGACCGCCAGTGATCAAGAAGTTAAACCGTTCATTCAAGAGTGTATTTCTTTGGGTATTGTACAACTTATTCTTAAACATTTTTTTTCATTCTCTTATTTTACTGTATAAAGACAAAGTATGGAAAATTCATGTCGATAACATATATTTTGGTGCTAATACTGTTTTGTCTCACGCAAAATATTAGCTAATCAATATAGACCTCAATTTCGACAAAAAAATCATTGAATCATTATAACAGCATTATTTATTTGTATCTCATTTTCTATTTTTCCTTTTTGCACTCATCCATTTATAAGATATGCACTTAACTTGATGAAAAAAAAGCTAAATAGTAATTATTGTGGTTGGTTGAAGAACTTCTTTGAAAGATCTAGGTTTTATAATAGTCATAAAGAGCACGGATACAAAACACCGAGGTTTTCTTAAATCTGTCGAATAATCAGGATCGGTTTCTGTAACATATTAATTGCTATCTGTGCCAAGAGATGCACCAATACAACATTTCATCATCTGTATTTCACTTTATTCCCACATTTTACTATTTGTATTTCATACTATTCTCACATTGTATTACTCTTATGTTGTATCGTCCTTGCGTTGTACACACTATCATATGTATTTAATGTCCTCTCTACGTTATATTACTCTTATTCCACATCATCCTTGTGTACATCACCATTGAACAATGCCCGTTCAATGAGTTTGTCATTGTGCTCATATATTTCGTTCGTCCTCGATATCATTCTAATTGTTCTGTGATGTACTATTCTTTGTCAACGATTGTTCAATAGCCGCACTATATCCTGTACATATTCTCATTGTTCTCTCTTCACATAAAGGTTAAGGTGAAGGAGAAAAGACGAAAGTGAAGAATAGAGCAGTCAATATTGATAAGCGGTGGAAGTAAGACTGAACAACAGTATACACGTGTGAAAGATATACACAATGGTGTATAACTTCGTATATTAAAGAAGATTAGTGTTGTTGAAACAAATGACTAACGAGGGAACCGCCCGAAGTGGTTCACAGCTTTTTAGCTCATATTTTGAGCATGTAGACAGGGTCTCTAGACTAGAATAACCCTAAAAGGATTTGGGCCCATAGGTCTCCATTGCAGAGTTATAGCAATTGTACTTAAATTTCAGCCTATGTCATGTTATGTACAAACAACTTGACTGACGATATTTTAAACTGAAATTTTGTCTATAGATAGGTCTACTTGTAACTAGAATGTCCTGAACATTTCCACTGAAAAAAATATTTCCGTCGCGAGGTATTGAATATCGATAAAACATGAGATTCCCAATTCTTTTACGGAATATGAGTAATTTTTGAAAATTCAATATCTCGCGAAAGAAACATTCTTTTCACTTCAATTTTCCAAAGCATTCTAATTACAAGTAGACCTAGCTATGGACGAAATTTCAGGTTAAAATATCGTCAGTCAAATTGTTTGTACATACCATGTCACAAGCTAAAATTCAAGTAAAATTGCTATAACTCTGTAATGGAGGCCTATGGGTCCGAACCCTTTTAGGGTTATTCTAGTCTAGAAGTTCTCTCTATATGCTCAAAATATGAGCTCAAAAGCTGCGAATCACTTCGGGTGGTTCTCTCGTAAGTGATAGCGACAAGTAACAAAAGTGTACAGAATTCAACAGATGGTCAGACCAAGTCGAGAGCTTAGTGATCAACTTAACCATTAACCTTTAGCTTCTACACATTTTTAGTTACACTATCCTTGTCATTAAATGCACGAATAGCTGCAAACAATCTGCATTAATAAGAAAAAGTAACTAGCTTCTTCACTATTTCATAAAATTGGCAGAATTTATCAATGTTTACTTTCATTTTTTTATTCCCATACATTTAGACACAATACAAAGCTCATAGAACCTATACTTAACTACTGCTATCATTTCAACGTAAAAATCTTCTGAAAATCAATAGACTAAAAGGGCTTACCAGAGATACTTTAATATCAAAAGACTTACATCTGCTTCTTGTATTAATGTGATGCAGATTGTAATAACGAATGTAATACGTTACTAATGTATCGATGTTGTTTAATAAAGAAAATGAAAGTATGATTTAGCTTATGTACATATCAACACAATGTTTGGCTTGGGTGCACTCAACCATATACGTCGGATAAAACATGGTTATATATTAATGAAAGACAGTAGATTTTTTTATTTACAAAGCAGTATCATTCGTTTGCTTGTCTTATTGCTTGTCGATAATATAGCTTGAATAATAAAAAGAGAAAATAAATCGATGACAGAAAAAATGTGGATAATATCACAATTGCATTTTTATTTTTCTCCCTCTCTTTGCATAGGATAGGTAAAATATACAGCTTCACACAAGGGGGGAAAAGCGGATCCTTGGATCCTCTTGGATCCTCTGGATCCTTTTGGATCCTTTGAGATCGTGTTGGATCCTTTTGAATCCTTTTGGATCCTTTTGGATGCCAAGACGATCCAAAAGGATCCAAGAGAATCCAAAAGGATCCAAGAGAATCCAAAAGGATCCAAGAGAATCCAAAAGGATCCAGAGGATCCGCTTTTTCCCCTTTGGCTTTACATCTAATAGTACAGCGCTTTATATCATTGATCATGTTAAAACCGAACTCAGCGGTCCGTTCTTCCTATGAAAGAAGATATTGATTTCTACTACCACTTTTGGAAACATTTCTCATCCATATACATATTCCTCGTCAAAAATCGGCATTTGAATGAAGTTCAGTCTTCGAGATCCTTTCTGATTCTCAAAGAAAGTTGAGATTCACCTTCAATAGCTGCCTCGATATTTTCATCATGAATATCCTTGCTTTTATTCAGACTCATTTTCTAATCGTTATTTTTATTTGGGTTGCAATCCAAATAATCATTCTGTTATCTATCTCTGTGGTAAATCAGCTTTCGACACAACGTACACTCTGAACCGACAGAATCAGCTACATCACTAATTTCAACCTTGATATCAAGATCTATCAGATAGGTTCTGTTTAGTAGTGATTCTGTTAATGGAAACTTGTAGTTCAGCTGTTACTCATTGTTCTATACATTTAAAAGTTTTTCATGGAGCAGTACTCATTTTTATAACAGTTGCCTTCGATTTTTGTCCTCAGTTTGATCATGTTCTTAATTAAAGTGACAGTTTCGAACTTCATTACAATACTCATTGCAGACGTGCTTAGGGACCACCACTCTCCGTAGGGTTCGGTAACGGTATCCGATGGTTTTTCAGGTTTCCGTAAGAATCGCTTCAGACGCTTACGATCCTTGTTTTCGCACGAACTCCATCTGACAAGTAAACATTTGCAA